ATCACCGATGTCATCATCATTTTAAAGCACGAGTTTCGCAAAATAATGATTTATCTCAATGCAAAAGTACATGGTTCATATAGGCAAGTCACTCTCATCATGCAAAAAAATAACTTCTTTAACGTTGTGTTGAACAAGGCCTGAGACCTCTGAGTAGCGAGAATAACGATATTATGAGTTATTTTTACTTTCAGGTTTTTGGTTTCTTAATGACGGCGATCCTTTGATTTGTGGGAACAGTTCAAGTGCAGGGTAAATTTTACAACGTATGCATGATCAAATAATCAATAAATTTATTAGCTTATTTATTAAATGACTTTTAAGAGACACACTTAAAAGTGTTTCTCTTTTCCTTGCCTAGTCGGGATCCTATCTACAATGTACTTCCTAGCTTTTGTTACGCTGTACCTTCAACAGAATACCGCGTTACAATACAATACTCTCTTCAAGAGATAAAAGCTAAAGTTACAAAATGTCTCCCGAAAGGGAATATCTAGAGGTCAACCCCATATAAAAGATTCCCCAAAATAAAAGATGAAAGGGTAAAATCTAGAATCTAAAACATTATAGCAGGGCTCCCCCGCGCGCGAAGCGCGCGTGGGACCGAGCCCCATACTCATGGAATATGGTCAACCTCTTTTCGTTTGGTTGTCACGTGATTGTCCGACGTACGTACATACGTACGTACGCGTCTACAGATTGTACGGGTGGTGTAGGGGAGACTATCAAAAGGAAGGGAGGGGTGAAAAAATTCATATGAAATATGTTGTGTTTATGTGCTACACAATTAAAATTTTGATTGCAAACTGACCTCGGACGCGAAAATTCAGCCAGCTGTTACAGGCAGGGAAGACAGTTGCTTTTGACTTTTCTCACCATGGTCACGCGTTGGTCACGCTCTACGTCCAATTGTTATGCTCTGATTGGTCAAAATTTGACAGGTGAGTTCATGCGGAAAATTTATGCAGCATCTTGAATCTTGGTTACTTTGACAGCTGAAGCTGACAGAGTTTTGTGTCAACTTGTGATGTTTTTAACTGTCTTTTTCCACTGGATGTGCAAAATGAAATTCAGCTGCTATCAGGAGTCCTCTGTTATTCATGGCTAGTTTGTTTATTGGGTTTTTGGTTGAGGAATACGTCCCTTGTCAAAGTCGGAAATCCGATTTCGGATGGCACCGTTTTCGTTTTCACCTTGCTTGATGCGTAAGAGGATTGCAAAGTCTGAAGCGATACTGGCTTTTCTTGATACCTTTCAGGAGCTGCATCTCAAATGGTAAGCCAGAGAAATTATTGTATTTGATGTTTGTTTTTTGGATCTAATTTAATGAAGTCGAGCGGAGTTTATGCACGTTTGTAAGATTTGAGACAATGATCTGACCGAGTAGCAGGTTTGATATAAGCTTACAGAACTTTAAAAAGCCTTTAGACAGTTTCTCACCGCAAATAGAAAGAAAGCGTTCCAAAGAATATTTAGTTATAATTCTGGCCGGAAAAGAAAGCTTTGAGCGATTTTCTTGCCTCGAGTTCGTCTTTGAAAAAAGCAAACACCGGGAAGCTGGCTTAAAACATAAACTTAAGCTTGAAGCTTGAAGACTCAGGATTTTTAGGGATACTTTAACACTTGTCTTCCTGAATGAAAATTGTTGTTTCTGTATATGTTTCACCGAATTATGTTTCTTTTATTGAGTGTTAGTAGTCTCTCTTGTAATTTTAATCGCTGTGCCGATTGTTTTCAGTCGTTCAGTGAACATCGCTTGCAGGAGTACTCAAAATGCCGCGCGTTAATAAACCATTAAATAAAAAATAAACAGAATAAATTCTTTATAATGTTGGAGCGTAACTCTGTTAATGTTCATTCAAACACTCGCCACAGCTCGCACCACAAAAGTGAGAACCGGATGGCCGTATAGGTGATTTTCGAAATTTTTTTAACAGTTTATGAATATTGAATGAGTGCAATTTGTATTGTGAAATACTGCTTTCTGTCCAAGGTCTGCCGGTATGATAAAAACAGTGCCTCATACTACTGTTTCACCTCAGATGTGATGTATAAATGGTATAAAAGGCTGGTTTACACGCACCCAGATTTGTTGACAAGATTTTGCAAAGTAAACTTGTCGAACGCAAAAAAGTTGGCCTGATTTTTTTTCCACTAATTAATCTACGGTGATCAAGAGCCATTATGGCTCTTAAATGTGATCGAAGATGATTACCAGTTTTTGGGTGTACATATGAGGCTATCAACTCGATGTAACATTTGATTCACTCTTGGGCTGTTCGCAAATTATTTTTCTCTAAAATCAGGTAGCCTTTCCCTCAAAAGTCACATAAATGTGCTCTAAAGTTGACTGAATTGTGGAATTCGAATACAAGTTTATTGTTTAATTTAAATTATAAATTTATTAATGGGAGCCTCGCTTTTAGCCCTGGCTAAATCTATATATTATACAGAAAGAAAAAATCTAAAACCTGAAAACTAGAATAAAAAACATCATTTGCACATCATAATTAAAACTATTTACAATAGTATCAATCAATATTCATTTGAATCCTTAATCTGTTGCGAAATAAAGTCAGCGATCCTGCGTGTACTACATCTTTGGGCAAATTATTCCACGTATTGACAATCCGTACAAAGAAAGAATATTTGCAGCAATTTAGGATGGCAACCTATAATTAGCTTATAATCGTGATTGGCTCTAGTTCGATTACATTTAGTAAGTTCAAAAAAGTCCGAAAAAGGAAGGCTATTTATTCCAAAAACTATCTTGAACTACAGATACGAACTCTCTTCTTTTGCCAATTCAGTAAGTCTTCATAGCTCATTTCTCCGCGCTTTCAGTTTTCTTTAACGCTAACCGTGATGCTCTTCATTGGACTTTTTCCAAGGATTCCACATCCTTTTTTGGTAGGGGCTCCAGACAGGGGCAGCGTATTCTAGTATAGGTCTTACCAACGACTTAAAGAGGCAATAAAACTCATATCGATTATCGTTTCTGAGTGATCGCTTAATTACACCTAACACTTTGTTCGCCTTGTTTACTATGTAGGAGACGTGTTTACCCCAAGATAGATCGTAGTTTATTGTGACCCTTAGGTCCTTGGCAGTTTCAACAGATTTTAGTTGCACAGCTAGAGAGGAACTTGGCTTAGATCTGTCCCTACTGTGCGTTGCCCGCATGGCTTCACATTTTTCTGGATTAAAGCGCAACTGCCACTTGGTAGCCCAATCGGTCAATCTATTCAGGTCAAGCTGTATGGCTGGTATATTCTTATCAGGCTCATTGATCGTACGATAGATTTTGGTGTCATCAGCGTAGATTGTGACTGTTAATGTTACGTTTGTCAAAATATCATTTATATAAATGATGAATAAGATTGGGTCGAGTACTGTTCCGTGCGGCCCGCCTGAAACCACTGGTGACCAATCTGAACAACTGCCCCTTAACACCACACGCTGCCTTCTATACGTCAAGAAATTTCTAATCCACAGTAATAGGGAGCCATCTATCCCATGCCGTTGTAGTTTCAGCAACAATGAAACGCTCATGTGGCATGTGTCGAAGGCCTCGGAGAGATCTAAGAAGATGATATCCGTTTGCTGCGAACGATTCCTAGCCTTTGCCCAGTCGTTGTAACATGTAAGTAATTGTGCCAACGTAGATTTGCCCCTTAGATACGCAAATTGGTTTAGGTTAAAAAGATTGAGATCTGACCAAAAGTCTACCACACGGGTCCTTACTACAGGTTCTGCAACTTTTGTTGCATACGATAGTGATATTTGGCGGTAGTTCTCCATAAGATTTTTGCTCCCTTTCTTGTGAACTGGAGTGATGTGGGCCGACTTCCATATACATGGTGGTTGACCTTGAGAGAACGGTGTATTCAGAAATAAAGTCAGCGGAGATGACAACACTTGAGCACATTCTTTTAGGATGCGAGGTGATATGCAGTCAGGACCAGGGGATTCATAGATATTCAAATTTCTTAGCAATTTCTCAACTTCCGTGGCAGAACAAAAGATAATACATAATTTCTTGTTGGTAATATATTCGAGGTCGGGAAAGTTTTCGTGATCCTCAACAGTAAAGACCGATGAGAAATAAGAATTCATACAGTTGGCAATACTCAGGTCGTCGTTAAGAAACGAATCGTTCACCTTTAAGGACACTAGATCACACTTAACTTTTCTCTTTGATTGAACAAAGTTCCAAAAAGGCTTTGGACTGTTACTGGTTTTTAATTCATCTGCCAGATTGTTTACAAACTGCCTACGCGGAGTTGCACTCCTTCTTCACATAATTGTTAAATTTACGATATTTGTCCCAGTCGGTCAGAGCACAGGTGTTTTTCGCCCTTTCATAAAGCGCTTTCTTTCTTTTACTCAACTTAATTAGATCCCCGCTTATCCATAGTGCTTTTGAATTCTCTTCTCTGTCCGCTTTGGGATACAACACTCGTTGACAGCAGATAATAACAAATCAGACCATGCAGCCCATATACGATCTATGTCAGTATCCATAAAAGCACAATGCCATGGAGTGTAATGTAAAGGAAATCCTGACATGATCCCAGTCAATAGTTAAACTTCTGCGATTTCCCTCCAGGGAACGATTTCCTCGATAATACCATAGAGATCGAGTTATGGTCAGAAAAGGGCAGACCAACTTTTAGATCATAACCTAGGTGAAGAGACGTAACGAACACCAAGTCTAAGATATTTCCATTGTGAGTTGGATCCTTGACTAGCTGAAAGAGAATTGTCGTGTATAATATAAATGATACACGGTACATAATATAAATCAGTAATCATAAATCATAATATAAATCGGCCTGGACGAAATCATTTGCATAATATAAATCATTTCCGTAAAAAAATCCATTGTACTGTATATACAGTACAAACTATTAGGTTATCAAGGCTAAATATATTATCAATTGATTTTGTGCTCTATTCGTTTTCCCTGATTAAGATCTTGTCCATCCAATTACACATGCATGCCTAATGCTGGTCCAAACCCAGATCATGGTTACACGACGTTTGACAACATGGGTTGGTCTCTTATTATGGCTCTGCAAATACTAACAAAGGATTTCTGGGAAAATGTTTACAATAAGGTAAGTATATCAATTAAATTTTTTTGTGGAAATAAGGAGGAAACTGAAGGAAAGATGCGCGATAAGCCAGACTTCGTCAGATCTACCTCAGGCAGTCAGTCTTGGAAACGTGGTGAAGAATATTTAAGTGGCTATCATGATACAAACTATAAACTAACTGTCATGGTGTAACCGGCAAAATTGAACACTTATCATTCCTTTTAGATTTACAGATCCTCTGGAGCGCAGTACGTGCCATATTTTGTCATCGGAATATTCTTCTGCGCTTTTTACCTGATGAACCTTGTATTGGCGATGGTTTACTTATCATATGAACAGGAATTATCTTCAGACGGAAAAGAGGTACTTTTATATACCCCCCAGTCTATTCAACATAGGTAGGCCATCTCACAGAGTTCAGATCAGTTAATTTTTTTTCCCTTAGTATTTTGACTAATGCTAGATTACAGACTTTATAGATTGATGTTTACAGGGAAATGTTGCTATAGAATTAATATAAAAGTTTGAGTATGATGCCGAAATGAACCATTAGGTTTTCCAGTTAGCCACCAGAGAGTGATAATCTATATTACACACTCGAGAAGGCCTGGATGAAATCGAACAGTATCTTTCTGCCAGGCGACTTTAGTTGTGACCCGCTGGGCGTCAGAGAGCGCACCGAACGTATAGACAACAACCACAAAACCAGGAAGTTACTGGACCTGTTTGACCTTTTTAATACGCAGAACGTTGTAGATGAACCTACCCGTGTCAGATTAACTACACAGTCTTTAAATTGACTTGATTGTGACGACTAAGGTGAACTTAGTCAGTAAAACGGGAGTACTACCGCTTGGTTTATCAGATCACTACCTTATCTACGCAACTCGCAAGCTTGAATAGCGAAAACCCGGCACCAACAAATATTCGGACCACAAATTTTAAACATTCAGTAATGACAAGGATTTTAAGTTGGATGTTGATCGAATACCATTTCACATTACCGAGGACAAACAAGATTCCCTGTGAGCCTGGGAGCAATTGCTCAGTAGCGTTTGTGATCAACACGCACCACACACAGTTCTGAAAGCACGAAGCCTGTCCTCCCCATGGATTAATAAACAAATCAAGCTCAAAATGAATCGAAGATTCATCATGTTCAAGAAAGCCATTGAAACCGAAGAGGCTGACCGGTGGGCTGATTACAAAAAAAACTAAGAAATAAAATAACATCTGACATTAGGAAGGCCAGAACAGCTTATTTTGGGAGGAAATCTATTCTAGCAACCAATCCTAAAGCTCGAAAACCAATCGGTCTGCAGTGCTCTCACCAGGATTTTGCCTTGGGGAGTCCCAGGGCCCCCTCTTCCGAGAAATAGGGGCCCCGTAAGAACATTAGGGGGACAAAGTTACAAAAAACACGCGGTACGAAGAACCTGAGCCCACACTCCAAATTGTCTGTTACATGAAGTACCTACCTGATCCAATATGGCGGAAGAGGTGTTTACGATTCGGAGGAGGAGTTTACGATGTAGTGGGACGTGCGTGGGACCAATGAAAGTAAAGGCAACCAAATTAAAGACTTTGACTCATTTGATATCATGTTTTTTATTTATTCAAACAAACAGAATGCTTTAGTGTTAGGTTCACCATTAAAACTACTTAAGTCCGTTTGACTCGTAGCTTGCCCCTGCGCCCAAACGGGCGCATCTTCTTGGTTTTCATGCGCCATTTCAGTTTTTCTTGCGGGAATCCCGCAAGGCCGCGGCCTGGTGAGAACACTGGGTCTGCTAAAACGTGACGACGAGTTTCTCGCTGTCGATGATAAAGAGAAAGCTAACTTATCAAATTGTTTCTTCGCTACTGCTGGAATGAAACTGGCAGATACCATTAAGCCACAGCACCAGATACTAACCACCACAAAATCTAAGCCTGTCCCATGTATATATGATGCACGAGTATCATACGGTGAAGTCGCGAAGAAACTTATACTTTGAAGAAAAACAAAGCCAATGGCCCTTAGGGTATTTTGCCACGGCTACTTGGAGCTGCTGAACATCTATTGCCGTGCCGCTGACTAACCTACATCTACGTAGCTTGAGAGAATCTAAAGTTTATGGCGACTGGAAGGTAGCCAGATTAAATCTCGTATTTAAGAACACGACGAATGCATTTTCTAGGCTAAGCGTGACAAGCAAAATCCTACAGTCTTGTGTCACCGACTCTACTGCAGATCACGTCTTCACTCACAATCAGCTGGTAATTGAATATCAGTGGGCCTACCGCAAGGGCCACTCTACTGACTTACTATTAACACACCTAACAGAGACCTGGAGGGGCGTCCTAGACTCCAATCTTGTCACTGGCGTATTATTTATTGACTTCCAAAAGCGTTTGATAGCATTTCTCACCAAATTTCAATCCACAACTTTGAGGATGATTAGGGGATCAAGGGGAACCTACATGACTGGGTAAGAGACTCTCGGAGTGAAAGAAAACAATACACCGTTGTAAATGGAGAACTTTCAGACAACGCTTAGGTAACTTCTAGCGTCCCTCAAGGCTCCGCGTTGGGACCAACACTTTTCGCCCTGTACACCGGCGATCTACCTGAGGCTGTTAGTTCCGCATCTCTCTACATGCGCGCTGACGACACGACTATGTATTGTATAGGTGAGTCGGTGGACTCCGCTTCCAACATGCTCAATAATGCACTAAAGAAATTAGAACACTGGAGTTCAAAGAACCACCTGGTACCTCACCCTAAAAGTGTGAAGAAATGATTTTACACGACCCCATAAGCGGCAACGCTTTAATCACCAGCGTGTTGAAATAAAAGTGATTGTATTGTATTGTATTGTATTGTGAACTGGATCAGTTGCTTTTTTTTGGCGGCGAAATTCCTCGCGACGAAACTCTCCGCCCGTCGCTAACAAGTTTGACAGTTGTTGATGAGTTAAACCAAATCTCGTCACTTTTCCTCCCAAATGTTGATACAAAAACTTCTAAGACAGCCAAAGCAAGGAGTAAACGCTCTGATAAAGGACCAGTGCTCAAAAATGCTCTCCTCTCTTTGTTTTATTAGTCAGCGCTGCTTTGTGCAGTATACATACGTACATACATACACATGCACTTTATTACGACTCCTCTATACGGGGCTATTCTGTCGTAATATACATTAATAACAAATATACAATAATAAAATTACAATGGGGCAAAAATGCTTACATCTGTTACAACAAGAAATATTTACATGAGTTTATATACAGTCAGAAAAATTTGATTCAATCTAAGAAGAGTTTGCAAGAAAGTGGGCGGCGACTTTCATTTTAAAACTTGAGATATTGTTTACTTGTTTAAGTTCCGAATGTTTTCTGGGAGTAGGTTGTATTCGTTTGCCCCACGAAAGGCGAAAGAGCGTTGACCAGTTGATAATCTGCTTTTAGGTAGATTCAACTGTGACATGTTTCTAATGCTGGTCCTCAGTAACACACGAAATTGTCCTACACTTTTGAACCATAGTAACAGTATTTAATAGAAGTTTTTGACGGACGCTTAGCCAGCCAAGGGATTCGCGAGCAGCAGAGACATGATCAAATTTTTTTGATACCTAGGATTATCCTACAAGCAAAGTTCTGGATAAGTTGAAGCTTTGAAATGTTTTTGCTTGAGGTATTACCCCATACGCTAGAACAAAAAAGCCTGCTTAAAATAAGAGTCTTTATAATTAAAGAAAGTGTTTTGAGGTCCAAATGATGTTTAATCCTATTGATACGACGTAGATTGTAAGGCAGCTCGAGGACAAGTTATAGTATATTCTACATCTATATCAATTTGTTCCCAAGGGTGGTGCGGCACCAGTGATGATTAACCAGATTGATTATCATGGTGTTATGACACGAGATTGAAAACCGTTCTATTTATTCGGCAGAGTAACTCTCTTACGTTGTGTTGTTTTGTGTGCATTATTTATTAGGGTAAAAAAATGGATCAGCGACGGACTGGTTGTTCATATCAAGCAGACAAGCAAACACTGAAGCGTCTTATTCTATTAGATAGAAACCGAAGGCCTCCATCAGGAGATGAAGCCAACGAGTGTGGTAACGTACCTACGGATTCGCACGCGGAAAAGCGCCGTGAATCACGTCACCACCTTATAACAGGCAGGGAATTAACACAAAGGTCTGAGAAGACCAACGTAACTAGCAAGGCTCTGTCTCACATAAAATCCTATTGGAAAATGGTACGAAAGTGTATGCACCAAATCACCTCCCATTCTACCTTCGATTGCGTGATTCTACTGCTGATAGTTTTGAACACAATTGTTCTGGCAATGTATCACCATGGTATTCCTGCCCAGTTTAGGCGCGTCTTGGATATTTTGAATTGGGTGAGTAAAACTTACTGATCGTTTACTATGAAACTGGGATAACAAATCTAACTGTAGATTTATTAGACAGTTCCAGGTGTAGGTAAGCATGGACCACCTGTGATCATTCTGATAATCTAAACCTTGTTAGCTGTAGCAGCCTGTCCTAGAGCTGCCCTTGGGGTTAAACGATTACAAAAAATAGTGCGGTCGGGTTTGGTCAATAGGACATAAGTACTACTGTAAGATGGTCTGTCTTGCACGCTATATTTATGAATGAATCAGTAAATCACTGAGGTTCGAAAATACGACATCAATGCCTTTTTTCTTTGCTAAATAGGTGTTCACTGGATTGTTTACGACTGAGATTCTGTTTCGTGTGGTCGCTATGGGACCAAAAGCATTTGTCCGCGTTCGATGGTACTTGTTTGACACAGCTGTCGTGGCAGCCAGCTTACTGGGATATTTAATAGATGCTGAAGGACTTAGTATATTTAGAACCTTTAGAATGGTAAGCATACAGGAATCATTTCATTCAGAAGGAAAACTTTTTTAAGGTCTGTTGGCTATTTATTTTGCTAAAAAAGATTTTATCTGGCAGCATGGTACAATTGAAAAAGATCTACGTTGACAACTTTGAACATTGAAGATGTCAATATTTTGATGACTTTTCAGTCATGACAGCTAACATGTTCGGAAAGGAAACCAAGGAAAAGTTAAAGGATAAAGTTAAAGTATCGCAAGTAATTGAAAATCCTTAGACAAATTTCGTACCGTCATGTTTGTAACTGAAGTTTGATGATCTGGTTTTAACGTATTTCCATGTAATACCGTGCTAGCTTCTGTGTTCTCACAAACGATTAACTCTCTCCTGTTTAGGTACGACTCTTACGTTTGGCGAAGTCCTGGAAGACGATGAATAGACTAATGATGGCCATTGCTAGAAGCATAGGACCTGTGGGCAACATCACACTTATTCTTGGTGTAATTGTCTACATTTTTGCTGTCCTAGGAATGAAGATATTTGGCAAGGATTATAAAACGGATAAGTTTGGTGGTAGTGGAGTGCCACGCTGGAATTTTAGTGATATCTGGCACGCTTTCATGATGGTTTTTCGTGTGCTAAGCGGGGAGTGGATCGAGCCTCTCTGGGACTGCATGAGAGTCACAAGCGCTGCCAAGGCAATCCCTTACTTTCTAACAGTTCTCGTCATTGGAAACTTTCTGGTGAGTAGCATTTGTGAGTGAGAATGGGATTGACTACTTTGCTTAGAATGAACAATTACTGAGTAAGGTCATGCCCAGATTGAGAAATTAAGAATACGGCAAAATAACTGGCTGCCCGGATCGACTTACTCCTTCCATAAATAGTTTTTCAATCTTAAAATCATGTAAAAGCTTACTGAGTGCGGCATATTTTACACTTCATCAAAATACAAGCGAAGATAAACTGTATGGCACAGGGAATGACTTTATTTAACTTATAGATTCATGGGTCTCTGTTCTGATACAGCGTGTAAGTTCTGATCATCTTGTTCTTTACCAGGTCCTCAACTTGTTTGTCACTCTAGTAGTGAACGCCTTTGACTTCCGAGACAAAGATGACAATTCAGATGGCGTAGATGGTGCAAAGTTTAGCATAAAAAAGATATTTAAAACACGCAGGTCCTGCCTTTTGGAGGAAAATTATCGTGGGTCTTTTCGTCCTTGTAAGCTTCAGGTTATGGAGAGCAAACAACCTGATGAGCAAAGCAATGGCGTTTCCTTGGCAATACACGCAGGAGATCAAGACGGCAAAGAATACTGTAAAAGTATAGAGATAATATATTTCTTTTACCAAGAAAACATATTTTTAATTTGAGTGTACATCTAAGGGACTTTTCATTTGATTATTTTAGTATACTTTCTAAATAAAATTTTTTGTTGCCCGCTCATAAACAATACCGGCCATGAATGGGTCGTTGTCTATAGACCATCCAAATTTTCAATTTTGTATAATTTCCAGCTACTTCCTTTCGTCGACTTACAATACATTTTGTTTTATTCATTCAAACTACTACTAAGCCTAATCTAAATGGAAGATTTTGAAACTCAGAAAACCATGACCTACGAAAATATTTCTGGAATGTTATTGTGTTGCAAGGAAGAAGCCGATCAGGCGTGAGAAAACTAAGCGATATTCAACAACGGCAGTAGTGTTGTGATCTACTTGCATGTAACTAGTTTTCTTTTTTCTGGGTTGACAATATACCAATCAAAAACGGTGAAATATTTTGAATGAATAATATTATATAAGGCAGTGGCTTAGTGGTGGGTCTGGGTTTGGAGATATATCCTCAATGATACCGGCCATCTTTTTATTATGTTCAAGATAACCTTTAATACTTATTTTAGCGTCCATGAATTAAGCCGGGATATTCCAAACTTAAAAAACAGTTCATTCTATTTCAGCATTTCTTGACATTTCTTTTTCATCCTTTTTTTAATCTATCCAGTAATGATTGTGAATTTGATGGGACATGCTACATTTGACATTCTTTTTCAAAATAAGCGTTATCATACATGAAAAACATTGCTATAGTTTCAATTTTATTAATTTTTGTCTTTCTATGCGCGCAGTGTTAGACAACGTTATCAACATTGAGAGCTCAAACAAAACAATCGGTGAAGGTGCGAGTTTTAAGGATGGCGTTGATCCTCCTCCCAGTTTCAAAATGGAACGTATAAAAGAAGGGATTTCTGAAAATGGTATGGTAACATTAAAGCCAGTTCCTTCGGTTAAAATCAAGGAATTATACATAGAGGACTGCCTCCCTGAGTACTGCGCATGTGTAGACTGTCAACTGTGGAGGCCTTTATCGACGGATAGCATTTCCTGGCTTAAGTTCCGCGGCCGGGTGCGAATTTTTGTGGAAAAGAAATACTTTGACTGGTTTATTCTCTTCATGGTACTTTTCAGCAGTTTTATGCTGGTAGGTTGATTTATGCTGTGCATCTTTTAAGATCTTTAAAATGATTTACTTCATAGAAGTTACTTTGACCTTTTCAACTTTTTTATGATTTCATTCCTTTTATTGCAGCTAGTGTTCAGGGTGGGAGTTCAAGTACCCTGTTCCTCCCAGGACACCCTGAAGTGCAGCGTTCTGGCCACTTAGCCACGCTGAGATCGTAAACACTATAGTAAATGGAAAATGCTTACAAAGGTCTTATTGAAACTCGTAGGTTTTTGAAGACGTTAATCTGCATAAAAGGCCAAATCTCGAGAAAACCTTGGAAATACTCAACTACATTTTCGCATGCGTCTTTACGCTAGAGTTCCTACTTAAAGCCATAGCTTTTGGCCTCACCAAGTACTTCGCCTCTCCTTGGAACTGTCTGGACGCCTTTATTGTCTCAGTGAGTAGAATATGATTGTTAAGCTCACTACGTACTGTACAAACATTTGTATAAAGGCTGGATAAACGCATCGCTGACAGTATGTGTTTTACTTCACAGATTTCACTCGCCTGCCTATTTGAGAACAAGAACTTGTCTGTGTTTCGTTCCCTACGTACATTACGAGCATTGAGACCACTCCGGGCCATCTCACGACTGGAGGGAATGAAGGTAATCAAAACTTGCCAGCAAAATCTCCTAAGGGAATTAAATTAAGTCATGTTGTTGCAATAAATTATCGATTTATATTAAGTCTGTTTCTTGAAACAATAGCGATGGTAGTTTATGTAGAAAGATAAAGAAAGATCATCCTAAGCTTAAACAAAAGAATACAATTCCTGATCAAGAACATGCCCAAGCCATGCTATCAAAGAGTTTGTCCTGTTTAGTTAATAAATCTAGTGCAATAGCTTTTTGATGATGACCATGTTGTTAAACAGACCGCCCAAAAGCACAACACAGCGAATGGTGATTCACCATTCCTTTGGTTTAATCCCCGTAGAAATCGTAGCCAGTTCAAAGTAAAGTAAAACTTAGTTTATTGCATGACTACTAAATCTCATGTGCAGACAATTAACACTGTTTATATTGTCCTTCTTAAGGTAGTGGTGAATGCACTCTTTGCTGCTATACCAGGTATTGCAAATGTCCTGGTGGTTTCCCTTCTCTTCTGGCTGATATTTAGCATTCTTGGCGTTCATTTCTTTGCCGGAAAGTTCTACAAGTGTGTGAATGAGGACAACTCCCAGTTACCTGCGAGTGTGATCGCCAGTAAAGCAGAATGTATGAACCGCACCATAGACGGTTACCGTTGGATCAACTCCAACGTGAATTTTGATAACGTCTTAGCAGGCTTCCTTGCACTGATGCAAGTAGTACGTTACCACCTGTTTTTCTTTTTCTTTTTTCTTTTTTTTTTAGCATTAACTTCTGACTAACGACATTTACACATGCTATCATAGCCATCAAAGTGACCGTGCCCTTAGAAACCCAAACACATGCCTTTAAAATTGGAGATAGGTTATTTTGTGTTAAAGGTATTGCATTAATTGTTGGTTCAAAGTGCTTATAATATTATAGGCGTTTTGGGTGAATATTAGCACACAAAATAGAATTTGAAAACAAGCATGGACTATTAATATGAAGATAGGAGGAAAATTCTTTGAAGCTAAACAAACCTGCAGTATATTTTTCCCTTACGAGAATGAATCTTCGTCATAGGTGTCGCTGTGGTGTTTCGAAAACATTCAGTTGTGTTTCGGTTTTCTAAGGACAGTAAGCGGGACCTTTCATCGTACCACGTCTACGTAATTAGCGCTCATTCTGTTAGGAGTACAATGTACTTAAGTAGCGACGTCTCTCGCTGAAATTTGTGCTTATATGGCGTGTTTTAGGCTACTTTTGAAGGTTGGATGGAAGTTATGAAGGACGCAGTCGACTCGACTAAGGTGAGTATCAAGTTCTTCTTAGAGGAACATAAAATTGTTGCGCTTGTTAAGCTAAAGAAAAATTTATGCCAATTTTTCTTATCGGAGCTGATACGACCTAGTACAGATCTCCTCATTTTCCATACCATGATTTAAAAGGGGCTGACACTATCATGATTATGATCATGGTGTTACCTAGCCGTGTTTTAACTGGATGGATAGCTCCCGCCATATACGCTTTCTGGTTTCGCTCATGCGTTTTTGATCTGTTTAACACCGAAATTATTAGATTTATCCTTTTTTGCATTTGTGAATAACGTATACTGATCTTAGAATTTATAGCTAATTTATGGGCTTGATTCATCTAAGATGAAGCATTTAGAGTTGTGGGAACAACCCTTAGACATAAGGTCCCCTGGCTGTTTTTACAAGGGCGCCCCGGGAGTTGTATACATGTTCTTTTGGCCTAAGATCAAGTAGTTTAAAGTTTTCTGGTTTCACCTTTTATCGACTGATATTTTAACATGGTGTTAGGAGTGGGTTTTTCCAGACGAACTGCAAGGTGAGTTGACGCGGCAAAACGCTCATGATGATTGCCGTATATTCGACGCAGCCAAACTCCAGCAGTACGCGTTTTATACATAAGCACTTACTTGTACCGAACGTTCAC